AAATCATCAATGTAATTTGATACTACAAAAATATAACGTTTGTGAAAACACGTCGCAACATGATTCGCGATGACATAATAAATTTAACACCTGCAAAATGCAACAAAAGATTTTAGATACATTCGATGAAGAAATCATCAATGTAATTTGATACCACAAAATGCAGCAGTTGCGAAAAAGATGCTTAATGTGATGCAATATCACATTATACATATAGATTATAATATATATGCACATTATACATGTTAGATTTAGCGTAATAAAAGAATTTTTCAAGGGGACATTTGAAATGTTTCACGATGACATCATCATCATCATCATCATAAATAGCACAAATAATGATATAAAAATGTAAGGATTTAAGCGCATCGCGTCATTAGTCAATCTAATAGCAAAAGTGACAACATGGAACGAGATTTGGTTGAGCAAGCTACCCTGCTAAATACAAGAGAAGAATACATCGCGTGGGAACAGCGATGCGATGAATTTATAGAATCTCTGGAAGAGCAGAGCCGTATTAAACGCCCGCGATTACCAACCGGTAATAGACAATCGGTGATCGCATGTATCGCGCGACTTGGAAGCTTGAAGGATTCGGTGCGCGGACGATTTGTGCACGTAGGCGCAGGATATGGACTTCGATGGCGCGAGATCGAAACGGCGTTCGAAAGCCGGATTCTAACAGACGCGGTAATAAACTCTAATTATGTCGAACCTCGCCGATTCCCCGAAGACGCGAGTAAAATTGTGATCGAGAGTATGCAGTGTGTTTTACAGAGATATGATTCTTTAAAAATAAATACAGTATTTAACGGTGAATTTGTGACAGATGACAAACGCCCGAACAATAGTATTACCACTCGGAACCATGAACTATATCAATGCACAGATTTGCGCGAGTGGTACATGTTGCGCGTCGTCGAGCCAATCGCTCGAAGAATTTCAAGAACGTCACAGAGGGTGGGCATTGTCACGTATCCTCAATTTAACGGTAAACGCGAATAAATTAAATCCTCTGCGCATGGGATGTCATATCAAACTCCCGCGAGAAATTATGCTGAAGAGAACGGTGATCAACGTGCGATCCACAGATAATGGGTGTTTCGCGTGGTCGATGATTGCAGCCCTGCATCCAACAAAAACATGTGGACAGGGAATCATCGTATCCGCACTACTCATCGTACTGAATCTCTAAGATAATCAGTTTCCGACGACGTTACATCAAATAAAAAAATTTGAAACGCTCAACGACATTTCCATCAATGTCTACGCTATCGAGAAGGGGATTGTGCCGATACGACTCGCCGACCGAAAGAGGAGTAAGCACGTAAACCTCTTGTACATGGAGGACGACAGCGCGGGATATTTCGCGCTGATCAAAGATCTGTCCCGCCTTGTGAGATCACGGATTACCAGAAACAAGAACAAGAAATTACGCATTTGAGGCTTGCACGGTTATCTTCTTGGATTATATTAGAGGGTTTGCGGGTTATCACCGTGTCTTCTTTCATGGTCGATGCCAATGTTTCGTGAACCATGCTGTTCACGAAACATTGGCATCGACCATGAAAGAAGACACGGTGATAACCCGCAAACCCTGTAATATAATCGAAGAACAAGAAATATTTCTGTGATAGGTATGTATATAAATAAAAATAATTATAATAATAATTTTTCAGATGCCTCCTCTACTTTAACTCGACCGCAAAACTGGAGACCCACAGTAAGGATTGGGAAATTAAACGATTATGCGATAAGGCTACCGAGTGAGGAAAACAAGTGGTTGAGCTTCCGCAATCACTACAGGACGGAGTGCGTCCCGTTCGTAATCTATGCCGATCTTGAGGGCGCATTGGAAAAGATGGCTAGCGACTCACAATTCGTTACGCACATGTACCAATATCACAATGTCTTCAGTATCGGGTACTACGTGCACTACTCCTACGACAGCTCACTGTCAGGCTACCGATTTCGCCGTGACAAAGACTGTATAGCGTGGTTCGCGGAAGAATTGAAAAATCTAGCGCACAGTGTACAGTCGACAACTTCAGATAATGTTCCCATGGCGGATTTCACGCGCGACGACTGGGAAAAATTTAACAGCGCCTTGCATTGTCACGTATGCGAAGAACCGTTTACACCAGACGATGCGCGGGTACGCGATCACTGTCACTCAATCGGACGATACAGAGGCCCCGCGCACTCAAATTGCAATCTAAATTATAAGGATTCGCATTGCACCCGTAGCTTTCCATAATTTATCTGGCTACGATGCTCATTTCATTATCAAGAAAATTGCCACCGCATACGAAGGACGCGTTGATCTTTTACCGATAAGTAAAGAAAAATACATCTCATTCACCAAACATGTTGACAGTACCAAAATCAATCAAAAGAATTGCATACAATTACGCTTCATAGATTCATATAGATTTCTCGCTTCTAGTTTAGATAAATTTGCATCTTTTCTCAACAATGATAAGCTGCGGGTACTGCGACGCGAATTTTCCTATTTATCGGAAGAAGATTTTAATCTTTTGACGCGAAAAGGCGTCTTTCCGTACGAGTACATTGACTGCAGTGAAAAATTGAACGAATTGTGTTTGCCGCCTCGCGAGTCATTCTACAGTTCATTGACGGACAACACGGTATCTGAGAGTGATTACGCGCACGCCGTCAACGTGCGGCAGCGCTTCTCCATCCAAACGCTCGGTGAATATAGCGATCTGTATCTAAAAACAGATGTATTGTTGTTGGCCGATCTTGTCGGCCGGTCTTTGAAAATTTCTGCGACAGTTGTGTCGCGAGTTACGGGCTCGACCCTGCATACTATTACACCTTACCGGGCTTCACATGGGATGCCATGTTGAATCATACAGGTGTAAAATTTGAACTGCTCACGGACATTGACATGGTCATGTTTGTCGAGCGCGGAATACGCGGCGGTCTGAGCCAGTGCTCAAATAGGTACGCACGAACCAACAACAAATACATGCTGTCGTACGATCCATCGAAACCGTCATCGTACTTGATGTACTATGACGTCAACAACCTCTACAACTGAGCAATGTGTCAACCACTGCCTTACGCCGATTTTCGATGGGTCGATGACGTGCACAATTTCAACTTTACGACCATCGGGTTAGATTCACCGACAGGCTATATTCTCGAGGTGGACTTGGAGTACCCTCAACATCTCCACGACGCGCACACTGACCTACCGTTCTGTTCGACGCGCGAGAAACCACCCGGCAAGCGCGAGGACAAGCTCCTCGCAACATTATGCGATAAGCATCCTCGATATATCTGAAACGTGTTTGTACGAATTTCACCACGAGTACACGGCACCACTGTTTCGCGATAAATGCAAAATTATGTATACCGATACTGACAGTCTCATATACCATGTGGAATGTGATGACGTTTACGATATCATGAAACGCGACATCAATAGATTTGACACTAGTGATTACTCTATTGATAACGCGTACGATATTCCGCTCGCTAATAAAAAAGTTCCAGGCCTAATGAAAGATGGGAACAATGGTGCCGTCATGACTGATTTCGTCGGGCTTAGAGCGAAAATGTGCGCTTTACGTGTGCAAGGAAAGAAAGATACGGGAAAAGCAAAGGATATCAAGAGCAGCGTTGTTGCAAAATCCATAACGTTTGAGGATTACACACGCTGTTTGAACGACGCAATCGAAATGACGCGCAGGCAGTCGTGCATTAGATCAATATTGCACGAGGTATACATCTCGTGACATCGGAAACGAAAATTGCTCTTATCTGCACGATGACAAGCGGTATATCGTATCAGATTCCACCGACACGCTGCTATGGGGACATTACCGGTGTAAATAAAATGCATTTCGCATATGTATAAATGTGTCATATGTATAATATGTATAATATGTATGAAGTGTATAAAATGTATAATATTGTTAAGTCCGTCCGTCAGTTCGTCCGCACGACCGTCTCGCGGAATCCGTTCGTGTCGCGAACGCGCACTCCCGAGCCGCCGGAATGAAGTACACGAGTATGTCGTTAGGAACAAGAAACGTTTATTGCACAAGAGAACACAGAAATACTCCGTATTGGAGCACAAAGAACGAGGTATAAGTTTGCGGATGAGAAGACACGTCCGATCGTTTCGACGGCTTCTTTCCAAATCTGTTTAAACATCGACGGCTTGTTGCCAGGCAACGCGTTTCTTCCTTTGATGATGGCGAACTCCAACGTATAACGGGCGACGATGCGATACAGGTATAACACATGCAGTACGGGCATAACAATATGTATAATATGTACGAAATGTATAATATGTATAAAATGTATAATATGTATAAAATGTATAATATGTATAAAATGTATAATATGTATAAAATGTATAATATGTATAAAATGTATGATATGTAAAATATGTATACTATGTGTAATATTTAATATATATATATTTATAATGAATATATGTAATACTTTAATGTATAATATAATGTATAATTTTATAATACATTGTCTTTATGAATCCATGAATTGTGCGAATTGTCAAATCCCAACCATTTCGCGTAAACCTCGCTTCCCTTCTTACGCAACACTTTTTCAACGAGATACACGTCAGGATTAGCGACGCGATGCTGTTTGTATTCGTAAAATCCTCCAACGATGGATTTTCCGCGAGAATCTTCCAATAGATACGTCACTGGATTAGTTTGTTACACTTTGATGATTTTAAAGACCTCCGTAGTCCAATTCGGCGTGTATCCTTTCTCAAAGATTGTCTTGAATTTGTTCACGCGAGTCACCCAGTTTGAATCGCGCGAGTGCGGCAATCTTTACATGATTGTACACCGTGGTTAAGAGCCTGTCGGCGATCGCAGGGGTAACATCGATGGATCGCATACCGATAGTTCGATGCTTTCGCGCGTTGTAATCTGATACGAGGCTTGGTAGCATATTGATCCATCTATTGTTTCCATTGTGCGTAAATTGTTTCCACATCATTCTTCAACGTACGATTGAACCATTACAGAATATGTAGAGTAATGATTGATGTTGTATTTCTTCAAGAGTTTCTGCACATTCGAGTTGTAAAATTCCTTTCCTCTGTTAGTCTGCAAATTTTTCGGACATCTTCCATCGTCTCGAATTATCTTTGCAATCACTTTTGTCACCTCGTTCCCGCTCTTGGCTTTGAGTGGTACGGCCCACGCGTGCTTACTCAGCACATCGATAACGGTGAGAATGTAGTGGTAACCTCTGTTGCAGCGTGTATACGGACGCATCTCAACCACATCCGCCTGCCACAGGTCATCGTATCTATGTACTATGACGCGTCTTCTTGGAAAATTTCTTCTCGCTGCAGAGTGTAATTCATCAACCAGCGATCGTTTCTCAGTCATTGCGATTTTTCACTTCTCGAATCGTCTTTTCAAATTCATTTAGCATAACCTGTACATTATTTTGGAATGATGTCATCTTCCTCTCGATATCACACTCGCCCTCGTCCTTTGCGACGTCGGAAGTTAATATTGATTAATTACTCTCTCTTTTTTCTTTCAGGTCTCAAGGAGTATCTCAACGGTTCTTATTGGTCATCAAGTGTCATGGTAAGTATTTTTATCATAATGTTAAGATGTTAATTTATTTCTTTTCAGGTTTGAATCTATGATGTTTCTAATGTTTTCTTTATTGTTTTCTAGGTACCGATGAACTGATCCTCGAGCTATTTGTATAAGGATTACTAGGTAGGTTGATAATAAATTGATTTCTTTGTTTAGTTAACATAATAATTGTTCATATTTTTAATAAAACATATTGTACTTTAATATTGTTTCTAAAAGATCTTTACCGTTCAATAGAATATAAAAACAAAAATAAATATAATATTATAAATTAGAATTCTTTGAATGTAAAATAAAAAAAATATTAATTTAAAACTTATTATATGACTGACCCTTTAACAAATATACTTATGTCTAATGTATTAATGTGTAAAACCCTGTAAAATATAATAAAAACTTAAAAATACTATGATTAAATATGTTTTTCTTAAAACTAAGTCCTTTTGTCCACGCTGCTAGTCTTTTTGTCTTCTTTGGTTGATATTTATCTTGGTTCCTTATCATGCAGGTGGGTCTCTCCGCTATTTCCTCCGTTCGGGCTGTCTTTAGTCCTTAGATCATCATTTGTCGGTCTTTTAATTATTTAATGAATATAAAGTTCGTTTTTAGGTTTTGTGTCAAAAATTCATGCGGTTGCATTGTGACCTGAGTCAGCTGATTTGAGTTCTGTTTTTTTTGGTTAGGTTGCCACATTTATCATTGACATTTCTACCAAATTTTATCTCCATAGCTTGACATTTGTAAAAGTTACGCCGTCTTGAGTACATCTACCTCTGCACGTGTTTTCGATTTTTTACAGTTTTAAAAATGGAGTTGAATTTGCAACAACGAGTTTGTATTAAATTTTTTGACCAAGAACGAAACGAATATCATCCAACAGCCATGGAATTCACCCGATATGGCTCCCTGCGATTTTTTTCTGTTCGATCGAGTCAAAAAACCACTACGGGGAAGCCGAAAGGAGGTAATGGAAAAATCGAAAACGGCTCTGATGGCTATACCGACAATAGAGTTCCAGAAATGTTTCGAGAGCTGGATCAAGCGCTGGCATAAGTGTTGCAGTCGATCGGGAGTACTTTGAAGAGGACAATATCACTTTTAATGAATAAACTTGTATTTTGAATTTTCTGAATGAATTCCGGGAACTTTTTGATCAAGGTAGTATATGCATGTACAATTATAGTATATATGTAATTTACATTGAATTATTTAAGCATTAAAGATCCAGCTTCGACCGTTATAGGCATTTAATTTCTAGTATTGATTGTGTTCTTCACATATGCGGCCTAAAATTAAGATTTTTAATATTGTTAATTTAAAAATAGTTTAATATACAAATTTTAATATACAAATATAATTGATTTATTAAAAATGATTTCCATGATCTGCAACTGAAATACCCAAAATCAACATACATAATTGTAATGATCTTACCCCTATTATCATCACCCGTAGTCTGATCGCCTTGACCCCTCACAGGTAGGCTATACCGATCAAAACTACTATACCTTCTTACATCGATAAATAAAAATATGTCTAATAATTATTTTAATGGTCTCCTTTAAAGCTATAATCCTGTACTGTATGTCTCTGCAGCAAATTTGATAAAAAATCAATTTTAAATGAAAATATTAATAAAATTTCATAACTGATCACCACCACTCCACTCTCCCCTAATGTGTCTACTTTTGGCATGATCCCGATTGTCATGACAACGAGTAATTTCTCGTCTTGTGAGACGTCTCACATGTGTATGCGTACACTCTTTTTGTCAAATTAATTACACAAGATATGTTAATTGAATATCCAGAAATTTATTGATCAAGCACCAAACTGCTCTTGTCTTTTACAATATCTATTCCAACAGAGAACTGAACTGCCACCACTTATTTCGCTTGCAATACCAAAAAAAAACAACATGGATGATCGCATGAGTAAAGTGGCGCCAGAATTGAAATGTGCGTTAACGCATACATACTCCCCCCTTGGAATCTCTTAGATTATAAACAACAAAAAATAAAAATAACTAGTCATGTGTGACGCTTCTTACATCAACGAATTAGTAACTGTGATTAATGATTGACGTCATAACAATTAATGAACATGTGTGAAGAGTATAAATACATTCTTAAGTTATGGGAAGTACACAAAGTTTGGTAATAGGACGCTTATAATCACTCCTTGCTGTATGGATTAACGCAGTTCGTATAATTCCATCTTGACCTGGATATACCTCCTTGATTCGCCCTAATTTCCAGCTTAAAGGAGGCAAGTTGTCTTCCTTTAGAATAACAAGTTGTCCTATCTGGATGGGATTTGTGATGGTATTCCATTTATTGCGTTGCTGGCAAGCATGTAAATATTCCTTGGTCCAGCGTCGCCAAAATTGTTGTCGCAATTGTTCGATGCGCTGCCACCGATCAAGTCTATTGATATTTACATCTGTGATATTAGGTTTTGGGTACGCAATGAGAGGACATCCTATCAGAAAATGACCGGCGGTAAGAAATGAAAGATCGTTAGGATCTGCTGATAGAGGTGTTAAAGGTCGCGAATTGCTTCTATTTGTACTAATAATGTATTAAGTTCTTCATTTCTTAAAGACGCCTCTCCAGCAATACGTGCAAGATGAAATTTAATGGATTTTACGGCGGCCTCCCAAAGACCACCCATGTGTGGTGTCCTTGGTGGAATGAAGTGCCACTGTATCTGTTCATTTGCCATGTTATATAATTTGTTGGTTGGCTTCCTTATGATTAAACAATGCCTTGAGTTCGCGCTCGGCACCAACAAAATTTAAGCCGTTATCTGAATATATATGACTAGGACGTCCTCTTCTTGCAATAAATCGCTTAAGTACATTTAAGAACGCGGCCGAAGTAAGATCATTCGACAATTCTAGATGAATCGCCTTTGTCGTAAAACAAACAAAAATTGCTATGAAACACTTGATTGATCGTGAATTCTTTCGTTGGCCCTCCTTGTAATAAACAGGACCAGCGTAATCTGTACCACATGTCTCGAATGGTCGTGAACCACCCTTGACGCGAGCTTCAGGCAAATCACCCATTAATGCAGTGGACAATTTTGGTAAGTGGCGAAAGCATATTACACATGTGTTTATGACATGACGTACGATATTTCGAGCTGAGCACGGCCAAAATTCTTATCGAATTGACGCTAAAGTTAATTGTGCTCCCGCGTGAAAAAGACGACAATATTCATGCATTGTAATCAAACGAGTGAATCTATGTTGCGCTGGAATTAACATTGGATGTTTTGCATTATACGACAAATTTGCATGCCTTAAACGCCCTCCTACTCTCAGAATTCCACTCGCGTCTAAAAATGGATTTAGTTTAAGGATTGAACTCCTCTTGTTCACAGCTCCGAAACTTGAAATATGTTGAATATCATTCTGAAAGCATTCCCGTTGCACGATTTTCACTAAGGTTAGTTTAGCTGCTTCTAGTTCGGAAACGAAAAGTGGAAGAAATTCTCCCTTGTTGCTGCCATGTTGAGAAGTTTTGGCAGAGCCTACCCCTTTCTTTCTTGTCATGTTAACAAAACGTAGGCACACTGCAAACACTCGTATTAGCTTCGAGTAACTTGAAAACCGTTCGAAAATCTGAAATCTTGGTTTTGATGCTGCTACATTGATTATGGCTGTGTTTCTTCTTTCCGGTATATCTCTTGCAAGTGATGTCGTTGTAACTGGCCATTCAGACTCGG